ATATATATATATATATATATGTTAATGTATATGAGTGTGGTTTTAATGGTTACTCATTTTATTTTACTTTATATTCTGCTTTAAGAATAGAGAACTTTTACAGTAGGAACCACCCATTTTTCTTCTGATCGCCAGATGAATTTTTTAATGGTTTAAATGTAAGTGCTCACATTAAAAATTTATAGTACACTTATAGAACTTTTTCCAAATAGATAAAACCGTTAAAAATTAATCTATGAGCTAAAATAATAATTCTTTTTAGGAGAAAAAAACAGTACCTAATTTAAAAAATCCCTCAAAATAAGCGCATAATTGATTAATTATTAATAGAGATATAAAAAACTGTTAACAATTGTAAATCAATTAGTTATTTGTTCCCTTTATTGTTTATAGTCATTAACTGTATATTGGTTGTACATAAGTTACATCTCTGACTTCAAGTGATTCGAGAACTTACCATCTTGTACTATCTATAAATACTGATCGTTATCCCTTAAAAAAACATATATATATATATATATATATAAATACTGATCGTTATCAACGAAAAAATCATGCCAAATTTTCCCACTCTTATCTCTGTTAGCATTAGAACCATTGGAAGTGGCCTGACTAGCGACAAGAAAAATATTATCATCTATGCAGATGGTACATATACACCATCCATACCGTATCCATTATCCAATGCTATCCAGTGCTATCCTACATATAAATGCTTCCAACGGACCCTAAAAGGTTCCTATTATGTTTCCCGTATTAGCACACGCAAGTTAACATATCATATATTCATATTCACACTTTCTCAAATATTTTTCAATATCTCTTCTCTTCAATTTTTTATTATTATTATTATTATTATTTCTTTTTTTCTACAATGGCTGAAGAAAAGAGCCAGGAAAAATGGGAAGGAGAAGTCTCAGGTCAGTTAAAAAGCTCAAAAGCACGAGATGTTTGGCCTCTGATTGCGGATTTTTTCAACCTACACAAGCTGCTCCCAACGCTCGACCAGTGTCACCAAGTGGGCAGTGAGGTCACCGGCGTTCAGCCGGGTGTTATCCGCTACTGCGGGTCCACGACAACGTCGCCCTCCAGCGAGACGATTACCCAGTGGGCCAATGAGAAGCTGACAGAGATCGATCCGGTCAAACGGAGTCTGAGTTACGAGATCACTGAAAACAACGTGGGGTTCAAGTCTTGGGTGGCGACCATGCAAGTATTGCCGATCGACGGTGATGAAGAGGGCGGGAGTGAGATCAAGTGGTCGTTTGTTGGAGATCCCGCTGAGGGTTGGACTTATGAGATTATGGTGGGGTATCATGATTCTTCTCTCCAAACCATTGCTAAGAAAATAGAAGATGCTTTGAGCTCTAAAGTTAATAGTTAAAGCGGCTGAAAAACTTTTTTTTTGACTCTTCTAGTCCACAATATGATAGTGTTGTGTTTGGCTATCTGTGTTGTCGTTTGTTCTTTTTTGTTTTGTTTTTTTGTTTTTGTTTTTGCTTCGAACTTGTTTGTAATAAGGGAGTTTGTTTTGCAGGATGAGAAAAAATAAATTATTTCATTGTTGACTTCGCTGATTCGAGTTTAGAATTCAAGTTGAGATGTGATTTTATGTAATAGCTTTTTACTGTAGTAAAAAAGTTAAATGTGATTGTTTGTGAGAGCTTTTTACTGTAAAAAAACTCGAATTCTAAACTCGAATCAGCGAAGTAAACGGAGCTTGTATTTTGATAAGATCTAACGGTAAAAAATTAACATTACCAGTAGAAAATCTTATCAAAAAAGTCCCTCGTAATAATTAATAAGTGGTTGAAGGTTAATTAATTTATTTTGTTGTTATATTTCGGGGTGAGTGAGATTTTCTCTTTCTTTAATTTGAAAATAATGTTAAGTAAATAAATGATTTAAATCACAATTCACAATAGATGGAATAGAGGGTAAAACTCCTCAATTTCT